ATTCCCGTCATTTTTCACACCTGTGCACTTGAAAGACACCCCCAAATAGTTACCCTGGCAACCGTTCTGATCTGTGCGTTGCCGTCTGTCACTCTGTATTACTCTCGCAAGTAAATCTCAAAAAGAAACCTCAACACGTCAGCTGTCATTGCCAAGTTGCTAAGATTGCGCATGCGTCAAAATAATAATAACAGTAGTAATAATAATAATAATAATAATTTTATTATTATTATTAATTATTATTATATTTCTAGTTTCGTACCTGTCGTTTCGCTGTCAGTAAGATGATCAAATTTCTAATTTAAATTGTTTGTCGATTTACAATGTTTATTGGAATATATATTTTGTTGAAATACAGGAGGAGTAATAAAAATGACTTCCAACGTATTGTTTCTAGACAAAAAAGGAAATTAGCCCTTGCGACACACATGTTCATATCATTTTAATTCATATTTTTATGGACGTACGTCTGTGTGTCTGCATGTATATTTAAATTTAAAGACAATCCTAAAAATATTTTTCATAAAAAAAATTAAATTCTATTTAAAAATTCTATTCAATACGAAATAATTTCTGAAAAGTTTTAAAACTTCATAATTGTTTTATATCTTTAGACTTTAAAAGATTATTATTTTTAGTTTTCAACTTTATGATTTTATTGCTCAGCCCAGAGTAGATGTTGTTCAAACTGACCTTTAAGGGGAAGCGTCCTGGGTAAGACGATAAACTACGTCCGACAGCAAGGCTTTTGATCAGGAGGTTTTGAGGAGCATGGAACCACCTCTTAATTGATAGTTTTCCATGGTCCACCATGACCCAGGGTGGTAGCACTTGTTAGGGTCACAGTTATGAGCAAATAGTTAACCCCTAAACTGGGGTCAAAACACTATGAAAAATAAGTTTTAATACCAGCAATACACCTTTGTAAAAAATTATTACCAGCAATACATTTTTGAAGGAAAAAATATTACCATTTTTGGAAAAAAATTATTAGCAGCAATACATTTTTGTCGGCATTAAATAATCCATGGAGGTTGATATGACGTAAAACGGAACAAAACAAACAAACCAAACCTGAAACAGGAATGTATTATTCCAATGTTTTATAGTGATAGACAAAACGGCATATACAGGAAAACTGGAAGACCTCATTGTGAATGGTAGCTACAATAAAGATCCTACAATGAAAACATGACGCAAACTGTTACAGATCCTAATCAAGAATAAGGACTACTTCGCACCTAAGACATACAGGCAGTTGTCACAGCGTTACACCAAGCTGTCTCACATATACGGTCTCCCAAAAATTCACAAAGATGGTATTCCGCTCAGGCTGATTGTCAGCTGCCAAGGCTTTGTGTGCCACCCTTTTAGTCGCTTCCTTGTAGATATAATCAACCCATTAATAGGAAAGTCACCTTCATATGTCCAGAACTCCGCCTGCTTCGTGGAAATAATCAATGATGCTGCCATCCAATCCAACCAGATGGTGAGCCTGGACGTTATGTGTTTGTTCACCAAGGTTCCCACGGAGGAGGCACTTTTGGTAGTCATGGACAAACTTGACTCGGACTCATCCCTAGGAGAACAGACCAGTATACCAATAGATAACCTGATAGAGGTGCTGACTTTCTGTACACAAACAACACACTTCGGAATGGGATAAGATATATGTCGACAGGATGATGGTTTAGCAATGGGCTCGCCATTATCACCAGCAATGGCAAACCTATATATGGAATATTTTGAGGAAATGGCATTAGAATCTACACCACTAAAGCCAATCCTATGACTGAGATACGTAGATGACACCTTCATATTCTGGCCATACCAGAAAGAGGTCCAGCTACTACTGGACCGTGTGAACTCATTGACACAGTTCACAATGGAAAGAGAAAACAACAACAAACTCGCCTTCCTCGAACAGAGAATGGGTTCAATGTATCCGTAAGCCTACATTCACCGGACAATACCACCACTCCCACCACCCATATACTGTAAAGAAAGGGATCTCCACTGCTTACAACATCGAGCAAAAGTCATAAGTGTCGAACCAGAGACATATGAACAAGAAATGGTCAGTATAAGCACTACCTTACAACGTAACAACTATCCCGGGTACATAGCAACAGCTCCGACAAACTGGGATAGAAGGGTACAAGAGGATAACAACATTCAGAAAACAGGTTCAGTCTACGTGAAGGGATAATGGGAGAAAATACAAAAGATCTGTGCTCAATGTAACATCAGGACAACCTTCAAAAGTGGTTCAACACTTCACAGACACCTCTTCCGAGTAAGAGTCCCCATACAGGAGAACATGACGTGTGTATACGTCATCCCGTGCAGCTGTGGTAAAAAATATAAAGAAGCCTCCCTCTTAAGGTAAAACTGAAAGAACATCGTAAAGCGGTAATGCAATGCGAAATAGAAAAATCAGGCGTAGCTGACCACATATGGAGGGAAAAGGGTGGTCACCGCCTCCCCCCCTGTGGGATGAGGTTGAAATAATAAACAGAGAACATCACTGGAAAATACGAAAACGTAAGGAATCAGCACATATGCTAGGCCACAAAAATCTCCTGAGCCGACCAAGCATAGAAATGAATTCAATATGGGAACCAGTAATAAGGAGCGCTAGCTAGAAGCAATGAAAAACAACAAAAATTGGAATGTAAGCTGGTAAAAAATGCAATAATAACAGACAAATTACAATATGAGCACTGGAAAAAAATTATCACTGAGGCATTAGGCATTAACCCCCAAAATTCATACACCGATCTCCCCCTTTATCCATATGTGGATAAAGGTGTTGGTTAGACCCAAAGGTATGGCACGTGGAAGTAGAACAATCTATTCCGGTAGACGAAATAAAGGGTTCAGATCGAAATTCCCATCAGCTGAAGAAGGCTGGAGCGTACAATGGCCGAAATGTTGTTAATATGACAATGAAGATCAGGATAACAGTCGGAATAATTTACATAATATAAGAAATCAGTTTATGCAAATTTCATCGATTGTTTTGCGAAATTGAACGAAACATAGAGTTTGTAAATCACGACAAAAAATGTTAACGATGACTTCAACAATACTAAATACTGTGACAATTTCAACACACGTCAGCGTGTTGCAAAAAAAATCTAGTCCATTAAATAACACAAGCAGAAGTAAGTCACTCACACACAACACAGATATATGCATATACATTACATACATGTATGCATGCAATGTCACACGCAGGCAGTGTGATGGACAGAGAATTGGTTTTCCATTTTATATCATATGGATTATTTTATATATATATATATATATATATATATATATATATATATATATATATATATATATTTTATATCTATATATTATATATATCTATATTTTATATATTTTATATAATATATCTATATTATATATATATATATTTTATATAATATTTATATAATATATCTATATCGTATATATATATATTTATATATTTTATATAATATATCTATATTATATATATATATATTTAATATAATATTTTATATAATATATCTATATTATATATATATCTATATTTAATATAATATAATTTATCTATATATTATATATATTTATATTTTATAAAATATTTCATATAATATATCTATATATTATGTATATCTATATTTTATATATTTAATATTTTATATAATATGGATTATTCCTTTGAACCTTTTGTTGGTTACTAAGAAATAGTCAAGATTCACAAATGTATAGAGAACGAAAAATGAAAAATACCCGTATGTAATGAATATTTAATTAACAAAGAAGAGCAATGCGATCGTTTTTTGTTTTTTGTTTTTTTGTTTTTTTTTTGTCTCGCTAGATCAGGTACGATTGAGTAGTGAATTCGATTCTCACTGGGTGCCCCATACTTTTGGCCTTGTGTCACATCTAAGCTACGCTTAGAAAATCATTTTTCGGCCTTGTGTCACTGTCATATGCCCCAGTCGACGAATGGATTTATAGGGCGATCATACGCCGACTAGGAGATATATACATTCTCACACCCGTGGAGAGATACAAGCTATCTCTCTCAGATCATGACAATGGACAATTGGTAAACAAAAATATTTTTAAGACCACTGTTCGATTAGGATAATCGAACAGTAATCTTTCCCAGGTCCGCTTCGTTTTCAACATGGATACTGATCCACAATACAAGGATGAACTATAAGGCTTAGCGATTTTTGATACAAGAATTTTAATATGTACAAAATATACAAATATCAAAATAAAAGAACAGATAAGTAGGAGTTAAAACATCCGACGACCAGATCTCAAACTTACGTTGGGATATCAAAATTCGCCTAACACCAAATGGATTCAACTGAACCCGAACATACAAAAATATAAGTATGAATTACTATGAATTGAATGCAGAAGCCAACGCACACACAAAAGAGATGGGATAGGAGTTACAATTATTGTTTTACATGTGGAAAGGTGTTTGCAAAAACGTAATATTCATGGATGTATGCGTATCTTTCTACTACGGGTCCAAAATATGATTACTTATCTTTTATATTCAGTTCACTTTTTTTATATCAATGTCCTTTCTTTTCTTTTCTCGACGCAAACAGAATTTCACACACTGTCCGGCTGTAACAGAGGTATACACTTTCTTCCTCTCTTTGTTTCGCCTTTTTCTTTCCTTCCTTTTCTTCTGTAGACAGCTCGGTTTCCAAATCGGGCTCACTGCAACAGAGATGTACACTTTCTTCCTCTCTTTGGTTTTCTTCTTTCTTTCCTTCTTCTTCTTTACACAATTCAGCTTATAACAGAGGTATACACTTTCTTCTCTGGTTTTCCTTTTTTCTTTCTTTACACAATTCAACTTGTAACAGAGGTATATACTTTCTTTCTCTCTGGATATCCGTTTTCTTTTCTTTACACAATTCAACTTTTAACAGAGATATATGCTTTCTTCTCTGGTTTCCTTTAAACGCAAACTGAATCCTCAGCGTATAACTTTCTCTGCGTCTTCAATTTGGGATTCTCGAACAGGAATATTTCTTATATTTCTTGTCCGGAGTTGCCTGGGTTGAACTGGATAAGTTCCATCTCAATCAAATGCGTCTTATCTTTCCGTTCATAAACTATCAGCGCTTCGGCTTCAGGTCTTGATAGCAACTGATTCTCGAGTGAATCTCTGACTGTCACGTGTCTTAAGTTTTGGCGCGAATTCTAGCTTACATCCGTCCCCTGTCTAGCTTCTGTCTAGACATTTGTCGCTACGGGTAATTGGGTCAGTCAACCTTTTGACCTGCCTTCCCAAAATGTCATAAGACTCCCACGTGACCTTTATTCTGTTGCTAGGCGGAAATTAACCCTAATATATGCGTATATGCGTGTTTAGGCTATCTGCTTTCATCACACGTCACAGTCACATCTAAGTTGTGCTGAGAAAATAATTGGATACCTTGACCTTGACGTTGTGTAATAGTTAGCAAGCTAGTCTCGACTGAGGAGTGAATTCGATCCTCACTTGGTGCACCATACTTTTGGCCTTGTGCCGCTTAAAAGCTGCGCTTAGAAAATTACCATTACGTATAGATTGAAACTGAAGCTCGCTTTTTATTTATGCAAATAGATGCATGTGTATTATGTGATTCACACCAGGATATACCTGATGGCCCTAATCGAATTGAATGTCTACCTTTATGCTAAGAGAAGTTGATATGTGGTGCCCCCAATATATACCTACCTCATCGAAAGAGACACGAAAACAGACGAGATGAGCATACTGGTCGAAATAGTAAAACACATTAATAATAATAATAATAATAATAATTCCTCATCTCAAATATTCCATCAAAAATTAGAAAGCTGATATCACAAACTACTAGTTCAGTCCTCAGTAAATTATTTGAACCTCATGCCAGACTAAGCTAAACTTAGTAAAATACTAGATGTATCATGGATATCGGCTCGGAATGAGGCATCGATGAACCGATTTCGAATTCCAGTCGTGTTTATTAGATTCAATTATTCGCAAATAGTCTTGGAAAAGGTATGAATCCATTTCTTCTGTCTCAAGCAGGACAGATAGGGTTGTATCGCCTTGGTTGGCAACCAGTCTACGGTAGAAAGAAATGGCAAACTACAGCGGGAACATTTTCTGCTTAGTTAGTCATAGATTGAAAGAGACATGATCGCCCAAGCGTGTATTACGTATGGCACTTAACTGACTGACTGAATAGAAAAAAAAATGTTATTTTTTGTTTTGTTTTAACTCTCCTATTTTTACGCTAAACATGATTCCGAAGACAAAGGAAAAACGAAAGTGAGTTGATATACACAAGATGTAAGACGATGTTAAGTCGTAGGGGTCAGTCGAGAACTGAGGATGTGGACAGAAACAGAGAGAAATACTTGAGTGTGTTGGACAAGTGCAGGCTGAAATGGTTAGCAACGAATGACAGAGCATTCCACGTAGTGATGAAAGAGTTTGGTTTAGCAGTCGAACCAAGTCACCAGCGAGAAGTAAAGGAGCAGACAGGTGAAGGAAAATTCCGTGAAGGCTTTTTATTTACAGAAAATGTGAGCAGGAAAAATGTAAACTCAAATATCGCTACGGTTTAATCCGTTTATGCTGTAAATTCTGACATTCATTCCTTTTAATATTCAACTTAACATTCATTTTAACATTTATTTATCATTCCTTGTAACATTTTAACATTCATTTTACATCCCTTTTAACATTCATTTTAACATTCATTTCATCATTCCATGTAACATTCATTTTAACATTCATTTTATCATTCTTTTTACCATTCTTTTTAATATATTTTTTTATGATTCCTTGTAACATTCATTTCATCATTCCTTGTAACATTCACTTTAACATTCATTTTATCATTCCTTTTAACATTCATTTTAACATTCATTTTGACAAGAGATTATATGAACACAAAAGGAACATTTTACAAAATAATACGTCAAAAGCGTTTGTTGCCCACCGTAACGAGACTGACCCCAATTTTGACATAAAAATGCTACTCTGAACGAAGGAGAAATAATTCACTACGATGTCTAGAGAGTTCCTTAGTCGCGCGGTCATCTACAGTAAATTTGCGCTCTGGTTCTTACAAAATTTCACCATTTCTGTCAGATCTTCTAATCCCAAAATGTGGAATACCTACTTAGAAAAATGATTGAAAGAAAAATACTCTAAATGAATTCGGCTAAATAAAAAAAAATCTAAATTTCCCAGCACCCTTTTGTCGTGCGTATGTGTAGTCCTACCAACATAACAAATTTAGTCAGATTAAGTCCTAAATCTTTCCACTTTGTCATACAATTCCCCCAACATGTTAAAGGTAAAGGTTCCCTGCCACCTTTCTGTCATCTGTATGTCTGTTTACATTATTCAGTCTTGCATATCCTCTTCCGCTCAAAGCCCAAAATATATGCGGCGAAGGTGCGTGGAGGGATAACACATAGCATTTGCAGGTGGAATATCAGTAAGTACGCCACAGAGAACTGTTGGTACTGCTAAGCAACCATGCCATATTTGGGAAGGATATTAGAATAATCTAGAACCTACCAATATTCATTATTAGTGATCACAATCTTAACAACATAACATATGCAGATGACACAGTATTGATAGCAGACACAGAAAGGAAACTACAAGAACTACTACAGAAGGAAGTGAAGGAAAGCGAGAAGAAAGGACTAAACATCAAATTGCAAGAAAACAGAATGCATGGTTGTTAGCAAAAGGAACAGCCCAACATGCAAATTATGAATTGAAGATACCAAAATCAAGCAAGTACAGCAATTGAAATATCTGTGTTTTAACAGAGGACAGAAATTGTGACACTGAAATCCAAAATCGCATTCGGATAGTTTAAGTATTAAGAAACAAGAAAATTTCGTCAGAAACAAAGAAAAGGTTGCTGAATTGTTATGTAATATCAGTCCTCCTATATGGCAGGGAGGGAATGGGACGTTTTCGGCGTAGCCCATGCGGCATCGCTGATTCGGCGGGGCCGATTCGGCGGGAATTTTTCAGCAGAGGGACGATTAGACTTCATCGTTTTAGTCAAATTTCTCTCTCGCCCTCTCTCGCCCTCTCTCTCCCCTATATCTCTGCCCCTCTATCTCCCTCTCACTCTCTCCTGTCTCTCTCCCCCTCTCTCCCCCCTCTCTCTCTCTCTCTCGTTTATTAGTAGTCAAATTAGTACTTCGTCGTTATACTCAAATTTGCTCGAATAGTTCAATTTAAAAAAAGACTAGTTGGAGGAATAAATTGAAAGTAAAGATATTGTTATCATGATAAATATCTAAAGGTAGCATTAAGATGAAATGTACCCTTCATATTCTGAAACTAGTTTTAGTAGTCTTTTCTTTAGGAATGGGACGTCTCGATGTAGCCTATTTGGCATCGCTGAATTTTTCGGCAGAAGGACGATTAGACGTCCGATTCGTCGCTATAGTCAAATTTCTCTTTCTCTCTCTCTCTCTCTCTCTCTCTCTCTCTCTCTCTCTCTCTCTCGTTTAGTAGTCAAATTAGTACATCATCGTTACATGCTCGAATAGTCCAATTTAAGAAAAGGAGTAGTTTTTAAATTTAAGAAAAAGAGAGGTTGGAGGCATTTTTTATATTATATTTCCTTCAGTTCAGTTTCCTATTTTTCAATCGTCAAAGTCCTTTTATTCCAAAATAGAAGCAAATATTTTATCAAAACGTGGAAGAAACAAAATGATACACAATGGATGCCTTTTCTTTATTTTTGACGCAACGAGCAAAAGGGATCCTGAATTAAAGTTTTGGTGATGTAAACAGAAAGATCAATGTAAAGTGAGAAGAATGGAAATGTGGTTCACCAGTTGAATGAACACACCCATGAAGATATGGAAGAGAACCTTTCCAATGGATCCTGAATTAAAGTTTTGGTGATGTGAACAGAAATATCGATGTAAAGTGAGATTATATATGAAGGATGGAAAAATAGCTTTAATAGGTTTTTTAATTTTTTTTGTAATACATTTTTAATTTAAATTTTTTAATATACATTATTTCCTTATTGTGGCACCATGCATATCTGACGAGCTGAGAGAAATATTCATAGATATATGATTTGTTTTTTTTTACGGTTTATCAACCATTTAATAATTATTTAGGGCCGAAAAATATTTTGGGTTTTAAGAATAATTAAGAAGTGTGTCATTGGAATGATAGTAAAGGTCTAAGTGGGTGGGGAAGTATATCTAAGGATATGAAGACAAACCATTAATACGAAAACATAGACAGTCTCCAGAATTAGAACAAGCCCACACAAGGCGTTGTCGCTGGCGAAATTTTTTTTTGAGATAATAAAGATTTTTATTATCAGATCTTCGAGCGGAGGGAAAATTGAAATATTTTTATTCCGTTCAGAAATGCCAACGAGTCTGAGAAATTCCTTTCTTAGATCATATCAATTAGCGATAAACTGCTTGACAAATGCCACGTGTTAAAAAGCCGAAAGTGTCATCTCAGTCGCTCATGATAAGGGCGATTTAAATTAATATTTTTGTTTTTTAAGCAAGGTGTTTCTTTCCCAAAACAAAGCCACGGATTGTCCACGCCCGACTAAAGACGTCATTGGCTAAATAAGATCACATGACACACGAAGGAGGAGGAAAGATACCCGACCAGGACCTCATTGGCCGAGAGCGGTCACGTGACGCACGAGGAGAATCGGTCGACGCCCTGTCAGAAGTGTAAGTGTGAGAAGCCGATACGAAGAAGCGGGAAGCAGGCACACCCCTCAGAGGCACAGTAAGGGGAGTGGGAGTGAGAGGAGTTACCGAAAATGGAAAAAAAGGAAAAATCCCTAACCAGAAATAAGAAGGGTGGATACGTATTTAGAATTATCGAAGAACCCCTGGCGCCGACAGACCACCCCAGTTTTGACTTCGTCAATAAAAGCGAGACCCCAACCGACAGAAATCAGAGTTTAGCCGCGAACGGCAAGCGGAGTGGAACCGTGGACGGCGGCCCGAGTTCGGTCGCCCACTTTGCGGGCAAGAGAGGCCAGTTCGTTTGGCCTAAGCGAAGAAGTTCGTCCGACCCAAGCCGAAGAGAAGAAGGTAGTTCGCGCACCGACGGCGGAGATGAGTGACCAGTAATTCAGACTCTGGTGAGTTCAGCCGCGGACGGCGAAAGAGTTCAGCCGTGGACGACAAGCAGAGATGAGCGCCCAGTGTTGAGACCACGTCAAGATAGCTGACGAAGATTCACGCACACTTCTGGACTCTTCTTCAACCAAGAACAAGTAGTTTGAAGAGCGACTTAGAATCAGACCACAGAAATAAGTTTTTTTTTTCGACTTTCGTCCAAAGACACACCGAAACACAAATTTCTTAGAGAGCAGACAACTTGAAGCCTTAAAGTTGCCTAGTAAAAGCGTCGTGCCACAATCCACAGAACGGGTCAGGAAGTAGACATAGTCCTATGTACCGAGCAAATAGACATAAAAAGTTTGTTACCTTTTTCTTTGATACGTTGGACCTTGTGAGTTTTTATTTTATTTTATTTTATACATAATTGTGTGTTATCACCCCCCGTTGGACTCAACTTGCATTACGGCCCCAACCCTGTTTGATCTCGTCTGTCTAAGATCAATTCACAACGTGGGTAGGCAGACTGAAGATCAGTGCAGTTACCCTGGTAACCAGGCGTTGGAAGCGGGTTGGGAACGGCGAGGCTGGTATCAATCTAACCAAAGGGTTAGAACGTCACGTTTGGAGCAGCGAGGAGCGAACAGCTGACGCCGCGGCGAAGACGTCAGGTTGGTGCTGTCCGTGACCAGGATATCAGAGCCTGGGGAGCACGTGACGTCACAATTGGCGCCGCGACCGGGATCGAACGACACAGTCGACGTTGCGACCGGGGGACGACGTCACATTAGTGTTTTAATAGGATCCTTAATTCCCTAAATGACTAAAAAGTCATATTGAAAGTTGGATGTTTCCAATGCTTTTATTGGGGGGGGGGTTGCCTCCAGTCAAAGACAGTGACGTCGAAACAGTCTGACGCCTAAACGGATGTGCCGAATAGTCCAATTATTTTTCTGACGCCGAATCAGCCACGCCAAATGGACTACGTCGAAACTTACTAAACTCTGGCAGGGAATGGTGGGCCATCTCTGCACAAATAAAGAAGGGACTTGTGTTGATAGAAATATGGTTCTACAGAAGGATGCTGAGAATATCATCCCCTGAGCATGTGAGCAACGATGTATGAACATGAACATATTCTGGTCATCACGGCACCATAAATGAATATACACCCGTGCTATGGTAATCTTGCTGGGTGTGTCCCCGTGAGCTATGGTACTATTCAAGTTGGTCATATCGTTTAGTGCTTTGCATTGTGATTCCCGGCGAAAAAATAAAAGAAGATTATTTACTATCTGCCGTTTTAACCGAACTGTGGTGTCCTTTTCGTCTGGATAATGTTTGGATAATGTCTTCGTGGGAATAGCCGACTCGACAAGCGGAATTATCTTCAATAATAAAGATTTATTAAAAACAAACAACGAAACTTTTCCGGTGGGGCCAAAGTACGTACAGGAAGGAAAAGAAAAAGGATGTTTACACTTGTCTTTCTTCAATTCATTAAGTTTGGAGCATCTTTTCATCATGGTATGCTGATATTTTAGCGATTTCGAGGAGGTACCTACTTTTAAGCCTACCACCTCATGTTTTAATAAAATTACTTTTCTAAGACGGTTACATTGTCATAGATGAAGTTTGAAAGAAAATGGAAACAAAATACGTATAAGAGACAATTGAAATTTCCAGGGAATATGATGAGGAAAAGAAAATTTGAAACATTTGATACGCTCAGGACATATTGGCGGCAAGATGGACAGAGGGAAACAGCGCATAACCCCTGTCTAACGAGTTTGTCTAAATGGTTGACAGAACAGGATGTAGAAGAGATAAGAAAAAGATAGAATTTTTACTAACGAACTACAAAGAATAACATTTGATGACCAACATATCCTGAAGGGAGATGGCACATTGAATATATTGCAAGTGAATGTCTGTACTGTAGTTTTAAAATATAATAAAAACACTTTTTTTATTCAAGAATGCCTAATGGCGATTTGAAGCTGGAAATAATTAACGCTAGCAACCATACCCAGCTGGTCGATCAGAAAAAGCGTTCAATTAGAATGGAGCAAAAACAGCATCATGTTTAGATGTAACAGAGTCTAACTTCTTTAATTACTTTAAAGTACTTTCATTTAAAAAAACACTTTGAATTAATGCCGTTACTTATATAACAGAAGTCGTCTGTATTTATTCAATCGAAGTTAGCCTAGGACATGAAGGGGTAAAACAGGCAACATGACGACCCACTTCAGGCCAGGAGTTTTTGAAATTCAATTTGCCAATGTGCTTCCAGCGACGTAAAAGGGGGTACATTTATGAAGCAATTTTAAATTTTATAAAAATTGGTTGAAAGATCAGCAAAAAATAAGAAAACGGTAAAAATCGCCATTTTTTGCTATTTACGCGGGTTTTCACTATATGGGTGAACTCAATTATTAAGTTAAATGACTGTTAAACAATCAACTTATTGTTGACTACAATTGAGTGAAGTTTGTATTAGATTGCTTGAAAATTGAGGGAGGTTTATTTTAAAATTTGTGTTGAAATCAATTTGTGTTGAAATCGATTTTTTGTTTTTTCGCGGTTTTTCGCTAAATGCAGTGGCGTAGAAATAAAAATGAGGGACCGTTGAGCTCGTCATGTTGTAAGTAACCTACATACCTACCTACATACATACCTTTGACAAAATATTGAAAACTATTTTACAATACACCCAGAACAATATTCTAGAATTCTAGGACAGCATAAATTAAATCTAGAGTATTCAGAATATTCCAGAAAAGCCTCATACAGTACAAAAACAAAGAAAATAGCCACTCAGAACCACTTAAGGCATCTATTATTGCCCTCTCAAAAGCAGGCAAGTCTACGAGAGAAATTGCAGAAATTGCTATAACCTCGCAATCAACTGTCTCTCGAGTGCTTAGGGCACATAATGATGTAACTCCTGCTCCAAGGAAGGAAACAAGGAGACGAAAGAAAAAGATTGATGATAGAACTGGCAGGGTAATCAAGAGAGAAGTTGCGAAGAATAGGACTATAACTAGCCAAGAAGAGGAAGGTGTTAGTCTTGCCTCTTCAACAGTCCTTCAGAACAAGGTTACAAATCTTGTTAGAACAAGGCTACAAATCTTATACACGAAGGTTTAAGCCGCTAATAAGTAAAGCTAACAAAGCCAAGAGACTTGACTATTACAAAAATTTCACCGTAGAAGACTGGAAGAATGTTCTCTTCTCCGATGAAACGAAAGTTGAGCTAAATTCAAAGGATAAGCGATCTAAAATCCGAAGAAGAAGCTTTGAAAGCTCTTTGAATTTAGCAGTAAGTACTATCAAGCATCCGTTCAGTATAATGTTCTGGGGATGTTTTTCTTTTCATGGAACTAGTTTCTTAAAACCTATTGAAAAAACCCTCAGGAGCGAGCAGTACAAGAAAATTTTAGTCTTGTCTTCTCCCTTCTGCTGAAAGGGTGCAAATCGACCCCACCAAGCTCATTTTTATGCAGGATAATGCTTCCTGTCACAAATCAAAATTGATGAAGGAATACTTTGATGCGAAGCAGGTAAGTGTTATGACATGGCCGCCTCAATCTCCTGACCTCAACCCCATAGAAAACTTATGGAGCATTATAAAGTACAGGCTCTCGAGAAAGCAGTTGAGCAACAAAGAGGATTTGATTGTGAATTTCATATCCGAATGGAATTCAATGCTTGGACATGAGATTTGCCAGAACCTAATCAAGTCAATGCCAAAAAAGGTTGAAAAGGTTATTCAAAATAAAGGACTCATAGATTATTAAATATTTCGGACTATATTACCTATTATAAATAAATTATACCTCTATTATTCTTTATTTAAAGCTGTTCGGTTATGTTTCTATTGATTACTAGTTGCAGGAAATAAGTGAGTCACTTTTTTTGCACAGAGTTTTTCCCTAAATCGCATTTATATCCAAAATTATAATTATCAATAGAATACCTTAAGGTGAATAAACTTTTTTACGAGGTGGTCGGGAAGGGGTCTTTATATTAGTAAGATTAAAAATTAGTTTAACCCCAAAAACAATAGGCGAAAAAAATTTTAAGTAAAAAAAATCAGGTGAGTCAGTTTTATCGAATAGCACTGTATTTTGATAATTGGAAATATTATATTTAAGCTATTAGCTTGAAATTAAAACTAAAATAAAAGCTTCAAGAAAGATTTTTCATTTTTAAAAAGTCATTTTAAACTTTAGGTGTCATGTTTCTTTGACAGTACCGAGATTTATAAATAAAAAATGAATATTAATTATAGTTTTCTACCTATTGATGGCCACCATTGCAAAAATGGGGATAGTGGATATAAATGCTTTAAACAAGTTCATCGCGTTTTTGTTTGTTTGTTTGTTTGTTTGTTTACGGAGGTCGCTACAATAAACCCGTTCTTAATTAACAACAGAGTTTGCTGGTTTGTGATGTGAAATTGGTTTTCAGTAGAGACAAAAAATTTACTATGACCGCGGGAATGTCACGCCTACAATCTCAGCAGAATTACAGCAACCGTGCAATCTGGTTGCCTCTCGACTTGCAGATGTCGAGATGCACGTAGCGGGAAGATCAAATACACCGTATAGTGACGACGCCAAAAATATGACGTTTTTTTTTCTTAACACTGGGACAGGGGGCGACAGATCTACGAAATGGAAGCAGAGACGGGGTTATATAGGCTCGAAAAGTAAAATTAGCGATCCAGTTTCAAATTCCGGCTTAGTCTGTTCATTTCATTTTCGCACTAATGTATGTAGCCATTCTCTCTCTCTCTCTCTCTCTCTCTCTCTCTCCCTCTCTCTCTATCTATCTATCTATCTGGTTATCAGTTAAATAGTAAGGTAGACTGGACTCTCTATCCTTGTAGAGCAGTCAATCTAGGAGGAGGAATAATCTAAATTCAAACTGTGGAAAAGGCAACTCTATTATCTTTCTTAAAACGTCATGGTGTTTCATTGATAATGAAGATAAATAAGTCTGTGGAGCTTTGATCGACTCAGTCCTGAAAGGAGATGGCATTATAAAAACGTTAGCTCTGTAAAGAAGTTCATCTTAAAGGTCGTGAGCTAACATTAGGCTCCGTAAAACTCACTTGATACTGAAGCCACGTCAACGTCATTTAGCCAGGTTGCAGCCTTCCCTAAACTCCACAAATTGTCTATAGGAAGAAAAAAACGCTCAAAATAGCTTTTGTTTTGTTTTCAGTTTGCTTTGTTTTGTTTTACAGCATATTAACCCCAATGGGTTATTTAATGCCGACAAAATTTTTATTGCTGGTAATATTTTGTTTTGACAAAAATCTATTTCTGGTAATATTTTTCCTTCAAAAATGTATTGCTGATAATATTTTTTTTCAAAAATATATTGCTTTTAATATTTATTTTTAAAAACATTGTTGGTAATATTTTTTTTTCAAAAATGTATTGCTGGTAATAGTTTTTTTTCTTCAAAAATTTATTGCAGGTAATAATTTTCTAAAGTATTTCTGGTATTAAAACCTATTTTTACACTTTCATAGTGTTTTGACCCCAGTTTCGGGGTTAACTATTTGCCCATAGCTGGGACCCTAACAGGTGCTACCACTCCGAGTCAGGTTGAATTTTGGTAACACCAGCAATTAAGAGGTGGTTTCACGCTCCGCAAAACCTTCTGATCAGAGGCCTTGCTGCTGGACGTAGTTTATCGTCTTACCCAGGACGCATTTTGTTTTCTTTGTTTTTTATAAGACATATCTCTTCTTTTATTTCTATTATGTGCTTGATTTTCAAATTTTGACTTCGTAAAGATAAAAATAACGAAATTTAAAATAGACACGCAAGTCAGTAACTTAACTTCAATAGATCAAAATACCAGTAGCAGAACGCCGATGAACAACGAAGAGACAATATGAAAAATAATTTCTCTTTATTGATAACAAAATCAAAATAACTGACCATAAAACAATGAAAAGAAACAACAAAATAATAAAGACACTTACAATTAACGGCTTATTGATCTTCTACCTCTTTTTGGTAAACTACTAGTGACCCTAATCAATGGTGAATTGATTAAGCATCTCACATCACAGGGTCTTTTTCCAGTCAAGCTATACAGCTTTCGTTTCTCCAAGTCAAGTGCTGATGTACTTGTAGAGGGACGTGTGGATTTGCGTGTTGTTGTACTAGAAACACGTGTGTAACTCCTGGTAGAATATTAAAAGTTCCAACTACAAGAAAATGGCCGGACTTGAATTAAGTCCAACTGAAGATGTAAAGACTAACAAGACCTATATATATATATATATATATATATATATATATATATATATATATATATATAAATAAACAGGCATATGTATTAAACAAAACAATTTTAAAATAGACATAGACAATAATATTTGTGTGTGTGTGTGTGTGAACGTTTGTGTCTGTTCTTTGGTGAATGTTCGTATTTAGGTGAATGTCCGTATTTAAGCAAATGTTCGTACGTACATGTATGTGTGTATAATGGTCATGGCGTCTCCCACCAATGAGAAGACGCGGATCTTCTAAGAGAGCTTACTTTGTAGTTGCTGAAATGAAGAAATGAAAAAGAGATCGAGGCGAGAAGTCGCCCAGTATTAAATAGTACAGGGAGAATGACCCCTAGTGACAATTTGGGAATTAAGGAGGAGCTAACTCCGACATACTGACGATAGTTGCGGAAAGAATGTATCAAGCTCTAGATAAGAAGAGTGAGAGCTTTCAATACGGTTTGATATACAGGTCTTCTTCACAAATTGACAATTTTTTCAACATGTCCAGTCTTTCTTGCCAAACAGTGAAATAATAATTATCCTAAATGACCACGCTTCCAGATCCTTTCGTATTAATGTCGGTGTTCCCCAGTGCTCTATCCTTAGTCGTAATTTGTTTTTAATTTTCATTAATAACCTTCCCGATGGTATCAGCTCTCTCGATATCTATACTGATGACACTACCATTTACTCCAATCTCAATGGTAAGGCTGATCAGTTTGATAAGGTCAGATTGGCAGCTGATGTCAAAAACAACATTCATTCTGTTGTTAACCGGAGCAAATTGTTAAATTGTTAAATTTACTTGTTAATTTTAACGCCTCCAAAACTAAGATGTTCTCTAATAATCACCTGACAGACTCGTTTCTGCCTTTCATCAGTATGGCTGATGCTAATCTCAAGGAGACTGACTCGTTACACCTTTACGGGCTAACGTTCTCGGCTGACATGAAGTGGGAAGAGTATATTGAATCCATAACTATGTCAGCTCTTAATAAATTTGGTTCACTGTGACGTGCTAGATATTTTTCTTTCCGGAATCTATCTTACATATTTATAAGTCTACCACTCATCCATGCTTTGAATATTACTGCCACATTACTGGTTTTCCTGCTATATATCTAGAGATCCTTAATAAAATCCAAAGAGGAATCTGCAATCTTATTGGTCCTGATCTGGCATCTCGCTTTCAGTCCCTTTCACACCGCCGTAATATAGCTTCTCTGAACTTTTTCTATAAATACATTCATGGTAATTGTTCTGATGAACTTTTCACAATTTACCTCGACTTTCACGAATTTAAACGCAGTACTAGATTGGCGCCAAGGTCTCATCATTTTATAGTTGAAATTGCAGGATGTAAACGTCAGTTCGATGCTAACAAATTCTTCTATCGCTTGTGGACAACTCTTCCGACCTCTTGCTTCCCAGTCAACTTTGATCTTCAAAAATCTAAATACAATGTTAATCGTTATTTACTGTCTTCTTAATTCTTGTTCTTCTATTGTCCGCTCTCCTTAATAGCATACGGTCAAATTGGCTACTGATGTCCAAAACGACTGTTGTTAACTTGGGAAAAAGCTCTCTTGTTAATTTTAACGTTTCCAAAATTTAACTGCTCTCCATTAATCATCTGAGATAGCTCTCTTTCCCTTCTATCAGTATGGCTGATGCTAACCTCCAGGAGAGTAACTCGTTGCGCCTTCTAGGTCTAACTTTCTCGGCTAACATTAAGTGGAAGAATAAACTGCTAAGAAAGTTGGTTCCCTGTGTCGTGCTAGACATGTTTTCTCTCCAGAAATATTTCTTACATATCTACCAATCGTCTATGCATAGAATTATTGCTGCCACATATGGTCCGGTTTTCCTGTTGTATATCTAGAGATTCTTGATAAAATCCAAAGAAGAATATCACGTGGACATGTGTCTCGGCTTCAGTCACTTTCCCACCGCCATAAAGTTGTTTCCGAGTACCTTTTCTATAAATATTTTCATGGTAATTGTACGGATGAACTCTTCCCTATGGTACGTAGATTCTATGAATTTAAAAGCAGCACTAGACTGGCGATCAGGTCTCATCGATATACAGTTCGCTAGATGTAACCGTAAATTCTATGTTAACAGTTTCTTTTCTCGCACTTCTCGCTTGTGAAACTCCTTTCCGGCTCCATACTTTCCAGCCAACATTAATCTTCAAAAATTTAAATGCAATGTCAAACACTATCTACTATCATCTTGATTACTCTTCTTCTGTAACCGCTCCTTAGAAATGTTTCTGTTTTTTAATTTTTTCACACCTTGTGTCTCTGGCTTTAACGCCTTTTATGAAGTGAACGTGATTAAAAAGTATAAACTTTATTGTAGCCAATGATTCACCAATAAAAATATGGCACCACAAAAGCTTTGAAAAAATCATAAAATTGCGTTTAAACTAATTGAGCAATTAAAGCCGATTTATCATCCCTGCCACACTTGTTAGTCTATTTATTTATTTATTTTTCTTATTTGTTTGGATTCTTCTGTAAACAGAAATCTTTATTGTAAACAATCTTCATTGCCATAAGCGAAAACTGATTAAGAAGCTTGTATTACGGCACGTTTGCTATTTCATTTAAAGACAAGAAAGAAAAGGTTTGTATTGCTGTCCAAGAGAGAATACTTTCAAACATGGCTTTTCGTAACACTGCAACCATTACACCTGTCTTTACAATTAGTTTTGCTTATATTTCGTTTACTTTTGACTATGACATTAGTTACTGTCTGTTGCGTGTCGTCTTCATCTTTCAAGAGTAAGCAATTTACTCGCCGTCTTTTGTAACATTCCATTGGCAGGTGAGTGGGTGGCATAACTCTTGAAGTGAATGTGTCATCTTTTTTTATGAAAGATTTCAAGTTTATGAGTACAATGAACAGATGAAGGTATCTGCACATTGAAATGCACATGTCTTTTGCCAATGAATACGCTTTATACAATGCTCCAGCCTAGATAAGAAAAACAAATTCTTCAAATAGAAATTGTCAAAGAAAGAAAGACCCACCAGACATCAAAGATTAGCGCAACTATACCCGGCATTTACCACCACCTGACTTTGTATCATACTGGTCGCGTCGGTAATTTACAGCCAACACCAATATATATATATATATATATATATATATATATATATATATATATATAAAATGGACAAAGTCCGACAAATATTTTAAGACATTTTTATGTTTATACATTCTTTTTATAGATACAAATATTTAAGTAAATACTCTGTTTATATATTCTGTCGGATGACGAATATTTTCTGTTAAAATTTTTCGGACATTCAGGCCGGTAAATGTTGTTTAATACTGTTTATTATAAACAGAGCATTTACTTAAATATTTGTATCTAAAAAAGAATGTATAAACATAAAATGTCTTAGTATATATATATATATATATATATATATATATATATATATATATATATATATCCAAAGAAGGAAACTCTTTTTTACAGTATATTTATTATTGACTTTATATATGTGTATCGATATTCATTTTCAACAGGACCGCTCATGTAACG